GGAGGAGGAGGAGGAGGAGGAGGAGGAGGAGGAGGAGGAGGGGGGAGCGCGCTGTCAGAAGGCCGCTCCCCTCGCCGAGCTTCCCTCGAGGCCGACCGCCGACCTCTCCCGCAGCGCATCCTCTCCAGGCCGTGGCGGCGAGGACCCTCGCGAGGGCCCAGGGAGCGCCGTCCCCAAAAACGTCCAACGTCCACCCAGGTTTAAACTGGAAGGCGTCGCAAACGCGTCGTGAAGGTCTGACATGATCCCAATCATCTCTTCGGGCGACTCGGCTACACGGAAGAGTGACCCTAGGCAGGAGTAACTTTTGGTGCGCGGCTTAGCGGGGGACGCGGGGTGGCCAAACCGGGGCGCGCAAGCCGCTGCTACCGCTTCGCGTCCAGCGATCGGGGGACCCGACTGGGCCCGCAACAGAGGTCGCTCCGGCGAGAGGTCACTCCGCGTCCTCGTCCTCGTCCGCGTCCGCGTCCTCGTCCTCCTCCTCCTCCTCCTCCTCCTCCTCCTCCTCCTCCTCCTCCTCCTCCTCCTCCTCCTCTCTCCTCCTCCTCCTCCTCCTCCTCCTCCTCCTCCTCCTCCTCCTCCTCCTCCTCCTCCTCCTCCTCCTCCTCCTCGCTCCTCCTCCTCGCTCTTCTTCCTCCTCCTCCTCCTCCTCGAGCGACGGCGGCAGCGGCCAACGGCCTCCTGGGGGCCCTGGCCCGCGCCGCGCGAGGGCACCCAGGCCAGCCGCGGTTGCCCGTGCTGCGGTGAGCTGGCCGCGGCAGCACACCTGCGGGCCCGCCGCCGCCGCCGCCGCCGCCGCCGCCGTCGTCGTCGCCGTCGTCGTCGTCGTCGTCGTCGTCGTCGTCGTCGTCGTCGTCGTCGTCGTCGTCGTCGTCGTCGACACCACTGTCGGCACAATCGTCGTGGTCCTTAGCGACGTCGTCGGAGTCTGTGGAGAGTCTTCGTCGTCGGCGTCACCGTCGTCGTCCGCGTCGACATCGTCGTCTTCATCGTCGTCGTCGAGGTGGTGGCGGGGAGAATGATAAAGCTTTGTAAGTGTTTGAACCTTCTTGGGCCGACCTCTTAACGGTTCGTCGCCAAGGGGATCTTTGCCGCAGTCCTCGTCGACGTCGTCGGCGTCGTGGTCTGCATCCTTTGCCTCGGCGTCAGCGCCGGCGTCGTTGGCATGGTGGTGGCTGCATCCAGCACCTCTCTATTGCATGTGTCTTTCTCGCCCTCTCTCTCTCTACATATACATTGTCATGGACACCTTCTTGGAGGGGGGAGGACGAGGAGAGCAGGGGAGAAGGGACACGCGCGGGGAAGGAGAATGAGCATGAGGCTGCGTTCAAACTTCATCGTGCGGAGATGGTGATTTGCAGTGTAAGTGATGTGTGCTGGGTTTCCTCCTCTCTCTCCTCCACCCTCCGCTTCGTCCTCATCTTGGTGCCCAGCAGCCTCTTCCTCTTCCTCCTCCTTCTTTTTCTCCTCCTGATGTGAAGAAGAGACGAACCAGACGGCGAACACATCGATCGAAGAGGAAGGCATCAGTGCAGTCGTACGCAGAAGTGTCGGTCGGAGTCGAGTCGCGGACATTCCGAGCTAAGCACGCAGCAGCGAGAGGGGAGGAGCTGACGAAGTGGGGGCCACGAGCACGTACCTGTTTGAGGGCCCTCACGCGGCGAAGCGAGCCTGCCTCCTCACGAGTGCGCATATGGCACCACATGACCTCTGTAAGACATCTCGGAATTATTCTGTACTGCCGCGCAGACGCGCACGACTAGCGCTGGCCACCGAAAATTCCGGTGCTCCGCGTAGGTTGATGTCCCTGCTGCGCAACCCAGAAATCCGACGCCGCATTTTGTCATGAACGCGGACCTCCAAAGGTCCCGACACATCTCGCAGGACCGGCTCTTCATCCTGAATTTGAGGGGTGCAAGATCGCCCCTACCCTGGGTTACAAGTGCGTGTTTTTTTAACCTCCTGGGAGCTCCCAAAGGCCAGAGAGCCGCCAGGACGCCGCGCGACACGCGCGATATGCAGGGTTTACCCTGTCAGCACACAGGAGCAGCGCCTCGTAAACCAGGGTAGGGGCGTTTTTTTACTCCCTTGATGAATTGTTGTTCGACTGCCCCGGGGCCTGGCAAGGGCCTCCAGGAGCTGAGAGGTGCCCAAAACCTTCCGTCGGTGATTCTTTGACATCAAAAGTCTGGGAGCCCAGGAGCGAAGCGACTCTTTGCTGGCCCTCCGACGGGGTCCGCACTCGCCAGGGCGCGGAGATTGCCACCGCGAGCCGGTAACGCACGAGCAGCCCGCGGCTCTGTGCACCTTCCCCCTCCTCCTCCTCCTCCTCTTCCTCCTCTTCCTCCTCCTCCTCCTCCTCCTCCTCCTCCTCCTCCTCCTCCTCCTCCTCCTCCTACTCGTCGTCCCCGTCCCCCCTCCCCGCCTTTTCGCCCTCTTCCTCCTCCTCCTCCTCCTTCCACCTCTCTCTCTCTACCTCTCCGCATGTCCTCCTCTCTCCTCCTCCTCCGCCTCCACACGTCCCGCTCCTCTGCCTCCCTCCTTCCTCACCCCCTTCCACCTCATCCTCCCTGCTTCCCCCTTCCTGCTCCTCCCTCTTTCCTCCTTCTTCTCTCCTCTTTCACCTCTCCCCTCTCCCCTCTCCTCCCTCCTCACGCCATGCCGTCCGTGGAACGCACGGGCGCCGACCGCGCGTTCGAGACAGCGGTGGTGAACGGCGGAGGGGGGCCGAGGAGGGGCGGGTGCCGTCATCCTGGCCGGCCGCCCCCTGCGGGGAAGGGAGGAGGGGAGAAAGGGGAGGGGAGGATCCCTGCTTGAGGAGAAGGGGGGACAGGGATCGATTATCGAGGATCCCTGCGAAAAGGATCCCTACCCCCTGCGGGAGGAGAGGGGAGGAGAGAGAGGGGGGTGATGTTCCAGGTCGAGGACCGAGGCAGCTTCCTAGTCAGCCCAGCCTCCTGCCCCGCCGGCTCGCGAGGGGAGAGGAGGAGAGAGGATTGATGACCGAGGTCTGCGAAGGGTTGATGATCCACGTCGAGGGGGATCAAGGATCGAGGCAACTGCCTACTCACCCCAACCTCCTGCCCAGTGGCTGTCGAGGGGGGGGAGGAGGGACGAGAGCAGATCGAGGATCGGCGGACAGGGCCCCCCCTCGGTTCGAACCCCCCCTCTGCACTCAAGGGGGGGAGGGGCCCTCCGGTTCGAACCCCTGGCCCCCCCCTGTGGGCAGGAGAGCAGGAGGGGAACCTCCCGCCACCCCTTGCAGCTCGCCCCCCGCCCTCCCCTCTTGATGGGGGCAGGGGGCCCCCCCCTCTCTGGTTCGACCCCCCCCCCCCCCCTCTGGCCATCGCTCGGACGTCCATTCCCTGTGTTTTTTCGGTTTCGTGTGTGGTTTTTTCGCCAAATGATCAAGGATGCTCCTCGATGGTCCTCGCTGGAGGAAAAATGCACACGTCCGAGCGATGTCAAGCCCTTGCATCTCAGGGTCCCCTCCCCCCGGCTCGAACACCCCCCACCCTTTATACCCAACGTCCACAGACCGCGCCCTTTCGCACGTCGTGGCCTTGCCCAACGATGGCCTCCGAGGCTCCCCCCACACAGGGCCCCCGGAGGTCCCCGGAGGCCCCCAAAGAGACTCCAGGAGGCCCCCAAGATGCTCCAAGAGGCCTCGCGAGGCTCTAAGCATGCCCCCCGCAAGCACAGCTCGCAGCTGTCCACGATGCTACAAGATTGCGAGATGAGCGACGCGATTCGCTGCCCATCCTGGCACGGCGCGTGAGATTTCTGCACCATGGTCAGCAAGGATATGTTTGATCCATCCTTTGACCTACGCACTTCTCGTATCAACCCTTTGCCCAAAACGCTACACACCCTTCCCGAGGTGTCCTGCCCGCCGCCTGCTCATTCTGCTGGCCCGTGGGCCCTGGCTGCGTCCTGGGCGTCCGCTGCCCGCCACTTCGCCCCTAAATCATTCCTGTCTTCGCACGGGGACTTCCAGTCAACCGAAAACCCAGGTCCGCCACCGCGCCGCTGGGCACAGAATGGGCGTGCCCTCAGGTCCGTTGCCCACTCCTGTAAGCCCCCCATACGGGGCCCACATTGCCAACATTTGGCGGAGGTTCTCGCGTCATGTCGCGGCTTCACGCGTTATTCTTGTCGGAGCGAAGAGGGCCCCACGACGGGCCAAGAGACCCCGTCCAAGAGGGCCCCGACTCGCCGAACGATCGCTCCAAAACGCTCAAGATGCCCCCCAAACGGCCCAAGAGGCCTCCAGGACGCCCCAAGAGGCACCCAAGACGTCGCCCAAGAGGGCCCCAAGAGGCCAATATCATTCTCTTGCACAGGGTGTCTAGAGCTCCGACCACCTCATTTCGGCACGGCGCCCCCTCCATCACCCACCCATTCCACCAGCCAGCGCGCCCCCATCTCCCCCGCCCCATTTCCCCCGTCCACCAGCCAGCGCACCCCCTCCGCCCAGACCATTTTATTTCGGCACGGCACCCCCCCCAATCCCACGCGCCCCCTCTGCATCCCCCCAACCCACCAGCCAGCGCGCCCCCTCCGCCCCGACACTTTTATTTCGGCACGTCCCCCCCCCCCACACACACCCAGACCACCATCCGCCCACCCACCAGCCAGCGCGCCCCTTCCGCACCGACCCTTTTATTTCGGCACGTCCCCCCCCCACACACACACACCCAGACCACCATCCGTCCACCCACCAACCACCGCGCCCCCTCCGCCCCGACCCTTTTTATTTCGGCATGGCGCCCCCACCCCATCCCGCGCGCCCCCTCGCATTCCCCCCACCCCCAACCACGCGCGCCCCCTCCGCCCGACCCTTTCAACCCCCTTTCATTTCGGCGCCCCGTCCGCATCCCCCCCCCGCCTACAAACCAGGGGGCCCGTCCGCCCCGACCCTTTCATTTCAGGAGGAGGAAAAGGAGAAGGAAAAGGAGAAGGAGAAGGAGGAGGACGAGGAGGAGGAGGAGGAGGAGGAGGAGGAGAAAGGGCGGAAAACGTGAGGAGGAATGGAGGAGGAAGGGACGAGGAATGGAAGAGAAAGGGAGGGGGAAACGAGGAGAAAGGGAGGGGGAAGGGAGGAAGAAGGGAGGAGGGAGGAGGAAGGGAGGAGGAAAAGAGGAGGAGGAGAAAAAGGAGGAGGAGGAGGAGGAAAAGGAGGAGGAGGAGGCGAAGGAAGAGAAGGAACAGGGGCTGGCAGCATGTCAAGAGGGTTGGGCTGCCAGCAGCTCCGGCGCCATGTGCAGGGGTTGTTGCCCCTATACACTGTGCTGGGATGTTCGCAGCTATACACGGTGTGACGCACGTGCAGCTACTCTACCTCGAACACGCGTGCATCTGCTATGCGAGGTTCTGGGTAACGTGCGCCGTGCAGCATTCATCGAGCTCGTCAACTAGGCTGTACGCAGTACTGCGAACGCTCGCGAGCTGGGGGGGCACCCCTCTGGCCTCTGGAAGCCGACGCCCGACGGTACTGCTTGTGCCAGGCAAGCTTCCGAGGCATCCACCCAAAGCAACAAGAAAAAACACGACACTTACTATACCCTGCTTGTCTCTACCTGGTCAGTGCCCCCCCCCATCCCCCCTCGAGCCATCCCCTGACACCCGGGCCCCGAAGGCATCCGATTGGCAGGGAGTGGGTTGAGGGGTCGGGAGGGTCATGGACGGCGGGAAAAAGGAGATGATACAGGAACACCAGAGGCAGACCCGCCTCGTCGAAGGAGCGGAGCCAGGGGCCGAGCGGCCCGAGGGATTAGCACAGCACCTTCAGCAGGCGCGTGCCCGCATGACCATTGCCATGCCCGCGAGGTCTGGGCCGTAGCCGAGCGAGGGGTTGCGCTCTGGGTTTAACTCAACGGCAGTGGAGGTCAGCTGGCCGCCATCTGAGAACCAAAACAACAAATTTCTGGAGCGCGTAAAGTACGGTGACAGAACAAACAGATAACCATCCAACCAAAGAAAGGCCCCGCACCGAAGCTAGTCAGTGACTGGGATTTGAAAGCTCAGCGTCAGTGGCGAACTGACATGGCGACTCGAACCTGGTTTGTGGTTCGGATTTGTGAGCCCAGCCTCCGTAGCCAAACACGTGGCGACACGATCCTAGTCAGCGGCTAGGATTTGAGAGCACGTCCTTCTCTGCGACGCGGGCCCGCAGTGCGCCCAGACGAGATCCGTGGCGACTCCGCAACGGGCCGCGGTCCCGACCATTGCCGCCGCCTTCCTTCTGCTTGTCCAACATCTTCTGAGCCAGTCCTTCCAAGTGGCCCTGAGGGGCCAATGCTAGCTTCAATGCGCCGCCTTTCTCCGCGAGAAGCCTCGCGGTTGCCTGCTCGAGCATCAACTATGAGTAAGTCACCGTCTCCCCCGAGTCTTCGGCGCGGCTGACACTTTCGGCCAAGGCAAACTGTAGCCTCGTGCGCTGGTCGTTGTAGCATTTCTTGCAGCGGAAGTGGCGGATCAACGAGCCGAGCTCCGTCCTCTGTCCAAGCTGCGCGAACTCGGTGAACAATAATCTGACTACCTCCAGGGCCCCCCTCAGCTGCAGGTTCGACTCGGCCTCCGGGAGACACTTGGACCCTGCGCGTGACATGTGCAAGCGAGGCGGGCCCAACTTCTCCTTGAACGACGCTATGCCAGCCGCGTCGTCTGAGAGCTTCCCGGCGCCACTGGGCGCCGCGATAATCGGGGCCAGAGACGGGCCAGGACTCTCGCCCGCTCTGCTGCTGCCAGGCCCCGCAAGAGCTGAGAGTGCATGCAGATACCTGTTAGGAGGAGGTTCGCCGCCTGAGCGACGTCTTTTTGCGCGAGAGCGACCTCGACCTGCGTCAGGGCGCCCTCTGCCTTGTTCGCCGCCTCGGCCACTCCTCCATTTGCCTCATCGGCCCGTGCGTCCGCGTCCACCTCTCCTGCTGTCGCGGCCTGGCGCTTTCCCTGCTGTGTAAGAGAGGCGATGTCCGCGGTCATGCCGTCTCCGCTCCCCGAGGCCGCCACGCTCGAGATTTCGTTGTGCGATGGGCGATGCTTGGAGACCGCAGCGGGTGCACATGCGGAGTGGGCGGTGGTGCAGATTCGGAAGTCCTCTAGAAGCTGCCGAGCCCGAGGGTTGACCTTCGGGGAAAGCTCCCAAGAGTCCAGGGCCGCATCGCAACTGCCCATGTAGCCCAGAGGAAAAAAAAAACACCCCGATTCCTTTGTGGGAATTGGGAAATCGAGCCCACATTTGGCTCCATCGAACGTCGGCAGGGTCCTCCACCCCCCCCAACTTTGGGCGCAGGCCCATCGACGCACCTCCCCGTCTTCGCCGCCGGCGGCCCCAAAGAGCCCCGGCCCGCGACGCGCGGCCAACGTGATGACGCGAACTGCTTGTTCACGAAAGGCGGTGGGCAGCCTGGGCGAAGGATATGAAAACCATCCGCCCAGCCGCCCTCGCCGCTGGTTCCGCTCGGAAGCGCGAGATCAAGCCGGGGCCGTTCTTGCCTGCAACGACCCTTTTTGACTTCTCAGTCGCGAGCGAGCCCGCGGTGGTCAAACATCCGCCCGAGATGCGAATGCGTCGGCCTCGCGCGCCCGGCGTTTTCAGAAACCCGGCGTGCCAGTGCCTGCGTTGTCCGATGCAGCCCCGACCAAAGATGCGCGCGAATGCGACTCTCTTGTCGGGGTTGAAGGCGACGCCTAGTTCCTGCTGGGCCAGACTCGCGGCTGCTACTCGATTCCGCCATCGCCGCCAGTGGGCCGGCCCCACTCCCCGAAGCGCGTTGTCCAATACCCCGGCCAGGCGCGACCCTCTTCGCGATGTCGTCGGCGAAAACCGCTGGCCCCACGTCGCGCAAATCCCCGTCGATCCCGATCGCTCCGGCGTGCTGTCTCGATGTCGCTCGGGATCCGCGATCGTAAAATCAAGCGAGACCTTGCTCGTAATAATAAATGAAAGCCCAGACGGGGTTGGGGCGGCCCATTATCTCCCGTCGTGGGCTTCAAGGTCATCGCCCCCCATGGCGAATCGATCTTCAAGGCGCCCTGGATCGCGCGCGTGCGTTCGAAAACCGCGTCTTCCTCGCAAAAACAAGTAGGGGGAGGAGCGCTGAGGATCGTGTTTCTGCCCGTGCTCGCGAAGGTGTTGGTGGCGTCCTCGTTGGGAATGGCGCGCGAGATATCCTCCTGCTCGAGGCCCCAAGACGCGCGGGCCTGCGCCGCGATGGCGCCCTCGCGTCTCCGACGGCAAACGAAGCCGCAGCAATGCGCGGGAAGAGCCGCTCGGTGCCGTCGACCGCGATGCCAGAGCCGCGAATGTCAAGCCTTCCCCATTGCTCTGAATAACAGAATCCACCTTTGGCCTGCTGGCCTGAGCTTTCCATTCTTCTTGTCCCGGCCAATGCAGCGTATCGAGAAACAGCGGGGGCTGTCTTGAGCGTCGGAAAGTAGCCATAGTGTCCGTCATCCGCTCGAGGAACGCTGCGGCCGTCGACGGGCGCTGGTCGCCCCCGCGCCTGCGCGCTTCAAAATGCCCCAGGCCGCCGAAGTCTAGGATGAGGGGCCGCTGTTCCGCGGGCTGTGACCAACATGGGCATGCTCGTCGCTTCGGCGTCGGTCATAGAACCTGGATCATGCCGTTGAGGCCCATCTCTGCTTGTTCCCAACGCACCGCTTGCATAGTATCGTATTTTGTCTGATCGCAGCTGAAGTTGGCATCGCACTCTTCGTCGAAGTGGGCCCGATCGAAGCGCGCAGCGAATTCTCGCTGCAGGTCGCAGGGGGCGCAGCCCACGCCTCCAGCGGCCGCGGGCTCCTGCGGGAAAGAAGAGATCTCGTCCGCATCGAACGGCTCGCTCTGCGCCATCAAGTAGCGCCTCTGTCGAGGACCGCGGCCTCGGCGAGAAAGACGGCGGATCAGGCCCTGGGCGGCGTTGTGGTCGTGGGCCGACCATGCCTCGTCTCTCTCCTGCAGCAGGGCGTCGGTGGTCTCCTTGGACAAGGAGCGAATACGAAGGTCGTGCGATCACGTTCGAGTTCGAAATCAGCGAGCTCCCGAAACTGTTCATGAGGTCCGACGTCGGGAGCGCTGCCCGTTCGCCTTCCTGCGCTGTGCGAAAAGTTGGGATCGTTAGTCTTTTTTAAGTCAGACTTCCGCTGCTCAGGCTTCGTCGGCTCGCTGAAAACTCCCTTTGCTTTGTTACAGACTGGGGCCGCCATCGAGCTCCGCAACTCGTCGGTCGTCGGGCGTGTACACGTCGTCCGTTCCTCATCGTGCTCATTTCTATTTGTGCTCGTTTCTAATTGTTCCTGGCCCCTAGTGGCCAGGAAGAGGCCCAGGATAGAACACTTAGAAATGAAAGGATCAAGCCCCCGAAAAAACAAAAATAATTTTCGAATATTTTGAAATGAACAATGTGTAGTCCATGGTCACGATCGTCTAGCGTCTGGATGGGCTGGAGCCGTCTCCTTGCTGACGCCTCCCAAACCCTGCAACTTCTGATGTGCCAGTAGCCCCTGCGGGGTATGAATGGAAGCGATCCTGGACCGACTGCCTGTGTTGCCGAAGCAGATGGGGCCCGCGTCGAAAAAAGTGTTGCCGGCCGCAAGGTCACAGCCTCGTAACATCTGATGATAGGTTCTCCCTGCCATGCCCTCCCAAGACAGATCGATTGTGCGCACCGCTCTGTCCTCGTCGTCCTCCTCCCAAAAGTGGAGCTCGGCCTCGTCGAGCGTTGTCTCTGGGTTCGCGCGCAGGCCGTTGTTGAGATTGCAGCCAGTGATGGGTGTACAACGGGCGCCCACCGACTCCAGATCCTTCCGAATCCATGCGGTGATGGCCTGGGTGGTTTTGCGGTACGCAGCGGCACCGGTGCGCTCATGAGGCTGGCATGGGAAATACAGGGTCATGAAGCGAACGTCTAGCGTCGCGGTCTTCAACTTGATCGCTCTAGCTCGACCCGCGATGCTGGGTGTTGGATGGTATAGGCGCCTGAGACTCCGCTGGGGCAGAGAACCCATGTGCAACATGATCGACAATCCGCATGATTTGTTACTCGCCCGAGCCCATCCGAAAGAGATCTCCCAATGTCTCTCGTGTCGAAACAGTTGATGTTCGTCTCCTCCTTGCCGCCTACATGTCACAGGGAGGAGCAGGGCGCCGATGTTATGGAATTCTTGACACATGCCCGCACAACGCATGGGCTTCACAAGGTGCATGGGGTTGTAGGTACACGCTCTGATACTTGTTTGTCCGCGCGGTGGGGGGCGGCTGGCGGGTGTCGTCGTTAAACCCAAGCAGCGATCACGATCACCTCCTGGAGCGGTCCACGGCGAGGGGCCGACCGTCCAAGGGCCATCCGCCACCCGATCACGGGCTCGGCAGACCCTGCGAGCGGTCCATATGTGCCACTATCGCGGGATCTCTTTCTTCTGAGTGTGATGAACCCCGCGAAGGAGGGTGTTTCGGGCCGCTGCAGCGGCTCTCCGGCGCCAGGAGGAGGAGGAGGAGGAGGAGGAGGAGGAGGAGGAGGAGGAGGAGGAGGAGGAGGAATCGTCAGGAATCGTCAGATGAGGGACAGCGTACGTCCGAAAGGACGGGCCCGCGGGCCCGCTCAGAACAGGTACAACACCTGGTGCACCCGCCCGGGTACACGAACACGTAGATGCCGAACACGGACCTCATGTGGCTGGCGCTGGCACGGAGGCGTCGGGGGCGTCGATGCGCGCGGCAACGGCGTCGGGCAAGAAGCTCTTGGCGAGCTCGTGCATCATCTCCAACATGTAGACCACGTGGGCCGTGTCCGTAACGAGGCCCATGCCGTACTGGGGCTGCGCGTTGGTCTCGTCGGACGCCGCATGCGTCAGGAACTTCTCGATGTGGCCCTTCGCGTCCTGCATCGTGTGCTGGATCGCCACGCGCGCCGTGTCGAGGGTCTTGCTGATGTCCTGCAACTGCATCTGCAGGTCGGGGCTGGTGGCCTCGCCCTTGATGCCCTCGCTGAGCTCCGACTCGGAGGGCGTGGCACCGCCGTGCACGCCATCAGGAGCTCGGTGCCGTCGTGTCCGCTGTCGCCGCTTCGCCTCCTTGCCGTTCTTGGGGAGCGCGTCGGCGCCCTCGCCGAAGAGGGCGTGCTCCGCCATGTTGCGCTGCGCCTTCATCTCGCCATCGATGTTCGGCTTGGACTCGGCGTGCGCCGCGACCACCTTCGCGCGGAGCACGGGGGTGATGCGCTCCACTCGCGCCTGCACCTCCTCGTCCACGTCCTTCTCCTCCGCTATGGTGCTGGGCTCGTCGGCGCGAGCCGCACGCCACAGGGCCACCGCTGTTGCCGCCACGACTTGCCGTGAAGCGCCAGCACGCACGATCACAGAGAGGAGCGCCGCCGCCGTCGCGTCGGCCATGACCGTAGCCAGCTCGAGCCAACGCGCGGGCGGGGGGCGCAGGCGCGGCGAGCAGGCTTGAGCCAAAATGGCTTGAGCCAAAATGGCTACGGAGGAGGAGGAGGAGGAGGAGGAGGAGGAGGAGGAGGAGGAGGAGGTGGAGGGCGCCAGAAGCGCGTGCTGCCGCATCGCACCCACGGCACTGGCCAAGAGGCGAGATGTCGGAGCGCCCGCCGTCGGAGGGCCGCTGGGAGGCATGCCGAACGCCCCGCGGCGCCGGTGCGTCTCCTCCGCCGCAGCCGGCTAGAATCAAGTCGGGCCTGCCCCCCCCTGCCTGGCCATCGCTCGGACGTCCATGCCCTGTGTTTTTTTCAGTTTCGTGCGTGGTTTTTTCGCCAAATGATCAAGGATGCTCCTCGATGGTCCTCGACGAAGAAAAAATGCACACGTCCGAGCGATGCCAAGCTACAGGGGGACTTTCGACGAAAAATAGAAAATACCCTACAAGTATCAAAAAACATCCAAACATAGTCTGGGGACTATGTTTGGGGAATTGTTCACCTTGTTGGGGTATTCTTGGGGTATTTTTTATTTTTCGTCGAAAATCCCCCTGTAGGGGGACACGCCCGACTTAAGGCTAGAAGCTCGCGCGCCTGCAGCACGCGCGGACTGCTGCCGCTGCTGCGGGCCCCCTCGAAGGCAACCAGCAGTACCTTCGATGCGGCGGGTCCCCGTCGTCGCAGCTTCAACGCTGGTCCCCGACACCGCGTGGATCGCTCCACCCTGGGCGATCAGCGCTTTGCGAAGCGGCGGTTCGCTCAACATCGATTGACTCTGGGCCACTATCGGCGTTGAACCTTGAACCACGCCGCGGCCGCGTCGACACGACGAGAGCCTGCCGCAGATGTGGCAACGTTAATGCTCCCGGGTGTTTTGTCCGAGGCCGCGTGCCTGCAGCTTAGAAAAGGGGACGCGTCTGCGGCTCGCTGACGGGTCGCTGTGAATTCCCACCCTCCGTCGGGGGTTGCAAGCTGAAAGCTTCCCCGGCGGACGGACGGTTGCGAGGGTAAACGCACGCCGTGGAAGGACGGCTGGAGGGAGCGAAGGCATGACCAATCAGCATCGACTCGGGAACCGAATCGAATCGGAATGAGCGTCGGATTGGGATGGATCAGCACAACGTCGAAATCGAAGAGGATCGGCCGCGCCAGGATGCGCATCATCGCCATGAAAGCACCCGGCCGCGCTGGATCGACAGAACATCGGAATCGGATCGGATCGAGCTGGCTGGAATCGACGATACTAAGACAGCTCGGACCTAGTGGCTGCAAGAGCAAATTAGTGCACAGCAAAAGGGCCCTGCTCTGGCAGGGCGGATGCGCTAGAGCCTGGAGACGGCCCCTCAAACAGGAAGAGGAGGAGGAGGAGGCAGATGAGAACGGCAGCTGACTGCAGCAGCGCGTGAGCGAGCGGAGGTCTGTTTACTGGGAGGGCTGGAACCACCACGTGGCCTTTTTCCCCAGCAGGCGCGAAAGTGCTGACCCCTAGCATAACTGGCCAGCACATCTACAGAATATAATGGTGCTGCGCGCACGCCATTCTTAGTTACGGCGCCCGCCTCCTCCGAGGCGACCTGCCGATAAACTGGACTGCTGCTGCAGCCCGCATCCCTCAGTGTAAATGCCAACCACAGGAGGGCTGTCAAAGGAGGGGCTCGAAGAAATTGCCCGGCGCCGCCTTAACATTGTATCTGAACACGTGTATGCGTGCAACTGCATCGTGCAACCCCTTGCGATCCATCGCCAAGCTGTGCTGATGTTAAGGCGGCGCCAAGCAAGGTATAATGGGACACGGACATCTCTCAGCGCCCGGACTGCAGCCAGCTCGCCTCTGTCAAGTCGGCGGCTGGAGGCGAAAACGCAACAGTGTCGTCGCGGCTGCGACCGCCCGCTGGAATTGCCCGCCGCCGCAAGGCGGCCAGGGTCTAGAGGGAGGGGGAGATATGGGGAGAGTGACGGCTGAGGAGCCAAGTGCGATGGCCACGGCGCGACCATGCATACCGCGGCACCTCCATCTTCGACAGTAGCGTGCGAACGTGGAAGAACGACAAGCCAGCCTGTTCCCCTGCGCTAGAACGGCTGCCCAGCCCACCTCCCACAGGTCAGGTAAGCTGGAGAAAACAAAAAAGAGCACTAAGCACTAAGCGTAAGCATGCCTCGCATGCTAGCAGCTGAAGGTGGCCAGGGCAACTGGCCGTCTCTGGGCGGCGGCCCGATAATTCAAGCGGCGTCTGTCCAGCCACGGTGTGACTAGACATGACGAACGAACAACTCCGATCCCCCTATGGGTATGGGTGCGTTGGTGGTTCGTCATAGACATGCATCTGCGCAGAACGCCGGCCTCCCTGCAGCAGACGCCACGGCAGTGGCACTCCCCTGCAGCAGCTGGCGGAGCGCCCGGCGCCTGCCGCCGCGGGCAGGCAGAGAGCGTCTCCGTGCTGGATGCGGCCAGGGGGTCTGAGCTGGAGAGGCCCAGAGAGGATCGGCCAAGAGAGGGGAATGAGGGCAGCTGCGCTCAGCGTCGGCCCCCAGGCCCTCCCCAGGCTCGAAGCTGACAAGTTTTCCGACACGCGCCCGGCCGTGGCCACGAGGGGGCGCCCTCCCTGCCCCCCCCTCATGCTGGCCCGACCCGCAATATGCTGGGGCCACCTCGGGCCCCGCAGCCGGCTCCAACGCCAGGGGCCAGACAGAGAGCGTCTCCAGGAGGACTTGAGCGGCGCGGAGAGATCGGCGCGGAGCTCCGAAAGCCTCTGCCCGTGCCGGGCCTCCTCGCCCCCGCACGCCTACAGCCAGCTCCTCCTGGGCCCGTCTACGTCGGCCAGCAGCGGATGCCGCGCCAGCACCAGCGGCGACAGCCAGTCGAGCGGCTCCGAGGCCGCCCGCAGCAGCTCGTCGTCCCAGGCCGCGGCGCCGCCGGCGGCGCCGCCGGCGATCACCGCGGCCGGAGCCGCGGGCCTCGCGGCGGGGGCCTCGGCTGCACCGAGCGCCCCGCCGCCCGAAGTCGGTCGGGCGGCCGAGGTCCGCGGCGCAGCGGACCCGCGGGCCGCCTGTGCCGTGCCACTGCCCGCGGGGGAGGGGTCCTGCGGCGGCGAGGCCTGCGGGGGCCCTGCGAGCCGACGTCGCCGAGGAGCTGTCCCAGCAGATCACCCCAAGAGCAGCAGAGGTGAAGGAGGCGGGTCGGCAGTGACGAAGCCGTGCCAGGACAGGGGTGGTATTACGGCCATGTGCACCTTGGGGTGTGTTTTGTTGACCAGGGATCCTGGCCGTCTGGACCAAACATGCAGCTGGCATGTAGGCGAGAACGCGATTCCTGAATAAAGTGGGGGGAAGCCTGAAGCGAAACGGCTGCCAGACCAGGCGGATGGCGAGCCCTGCAAGGACCCTGAGATCCGACGTCGCTAAAAGAACGCAATGAAAGATCGCAACCAGAGCCCCAGACCCCGTCTTTCTGCGGCATCATTCGAGCCAAATCGATATGTGAGGGTCCCAGGGCCCGAACATATGCAGAAACGCCAGGCTCGAAAACCACACCGCTCCTGAGCCCGCTCAGGTGGACGTGGCCGGAGACAGCTGCCGCGTCGGCAACGGCCCCGACCCCGACGACCGCCCCCCGCCACCCCCGGTTGATGGTGTGGTGTGGCGTGGTTGCGCTCGATCGAGAGCTTTCTCTTGCTCTCCCGACGCCCGGCCACCGCTCCCGGCGGAGGGCGGGACCCCTACTGGGGAGGCCCCGGCGGCCTCATCCTACCTCTTCCCCTCCCTATCCTCGCCGGACTCGGAACCGAGCTGGTTAGGTTGATTAAAAAATAAAAGAAAACTCACTGCCCCTGACCTTAAACCCCTGGGGATGAGAAAGTTCGGGGTCCGTGGGGGGAAAGAAACGTTTTCCCATGTATTGCATCATGGCGATGATGCAGACGCAGATACTATTATGATGATGCTGATGATGATGACGACGATGGTGATGATGATGATGATGATGATGATGATGATGATGATGATGATGCTGATGCTGATGCTGATGCTGATGCTGATGATGATGATGATGATGATGATGATGATGACGATGATGATGATGATAATGCTGATGATGATGCTGATGGTGAGGATGAGGATGATGATGATTTTGATGCTGATGAAGGTGGTGATGATCCTGGGCGCCTCTCTAAATTCTCGTTCTGTAGCGCTTGGCGCTCGGATCTGGCATTAAAGCTTGCCTACGCTCTGGAGGTCCTTGGCGCTCCTCGCCGGGAAACCTTGCTTGCGAACCAGCTCGAACAAATCGCCCATGCAGGCTCGGCACCCCTTAGTGCCGCCCTTGCATCCCATAGCCCTGCCACACCTTCGTGACTTGCGAAAGTTGAAGTGGTGAGACCCCCATAGCTATGCCACACGTCTTTGATGATGTTGCTAGTCAATACAAGAAGATAGCAACTTGGATGTGAAACTTCCCCCCCCACGATAATAAAGTTCGGCCTTGCCGCCCCTCTTTCCCGACCAAATCTGCATTGGCCAGGGATCATAAACTATGGGTCGGGAAGAGGGGGGGTATGATTTATTATCCGGGGGTCGCCGCCAATTAGCCTTTGGGGGTCGTCCCATTGTTTCTGACTCCGGCCAGGAGTGGCCTTATAGGCGACTCTTGGCCGGTCTCTTCCTCATCTTCCCTGAGATCCTGCTGTCTCAATTTTTTCGAGCTGGGCGTTTTCGTTTTTTTTCTCGGGCCCTGGGACCCTCACATATCGATCCGCCTCGAAAAATGACGCAGCAAGATTGGGTCTAGGGTTCCGGGCGCGATTTTTCACGGCGTGCCAATTTATTTGAGACGTCGGATCTCAGGGTTCCACTAAGGGTGTCCAGGCCAATGGCAGCCTGTCGCCTACAACTACAACGTCGAAGCTGCGACGCTGGGATCGCAGGACTTGAGCCGGTCCCTGGTGGTTTTCCGGCCACAACTCAAGTCTCCCGCAGCCGTTCGGGACGATCCGGGCACCCCCGGAACGCTCTCGGCGAGGCGCAGCTGCTGGAGAGCATCCCGCAGGCTGGGAGAAATACCGCCCGGTGTGATCAGAGATTCGACGCCCAGATCTCAGGGGAAGCGGGACGATCCGGGAACCCCCGCAACGCTCTCGGCGAGGCGCAGCTGCTGGAGAGCATCCCGAGGCTGGGAGTTAAGACGGCCCGGTGTGAGTAGAGAGTCGACGCCCGGATTCGGCAGTGGACAAAAATCCCTTGAATAAATCTCCCCTCAATGAAAACGGCCCAGGACCGCAATCGACGGACCTGGACCCGCAAAAATGACGGCCGCGACGCCTACTCGCGAACCGAAAATGGCCAATCCCTTAATCGACGCGTCAGGGTAGGATGCCTATCCTGGAGAAGAGCGGCTCTGAAGATGGGGCCGGGAAGCGCGGTCACCTTCGCGCCCCTGTGGGCGACCTGAAACATGGCTGTGGAGGCGGTGGAGGAGGAGGAGGAGGAGGAGGAGCAGGAGGAGGAGGGGGAGGAGGAGAAGGAGGAGGAGGAGGAGGAGGAGAGAGGGCGGGGGAGGAGGAGGAGGAGGAGGAGGAGGAGGAGGAGAAGGAGGAGAGAGGAGGAGGAGGGAGAGGAGGAGGAGGAGGAGGAGGAGGAGAGGAGGAGGAGGAGGAGGAGAGGAGGAGAGGCGGAGGAGGAGGAGGATGAGGAGGAGGAGGGAGAAGAAGGAGGAGGGAGAAGAAGAGGAGGAGGAGGAGGAGGCGGAGGAGGAGGGGGGAGCCGCCTGCGCCGCGCCGGGGCGATAGTGGCTCTCCCGCCTGCTGGTGCCGCCCTGCGGCGGCGGCGAGCGGCCCAGCAACGGGCCGCGCGGCGAGGCCGCGGGGGCGCCGCCGGGGTGCAGCCGCCCGCGCTGCTGCGCCCGCGCCGCCTCGCGGGCGCGCCGCTGGGCGGGCGAGGCCAGGGCGCCAGAGGCGCCGAGGTGCCGCTCCCAGTCCTCAGGAGCTCGACCACGAGGGGGTCGACTGCAGCGTCGGGCTCGCCCACTTTTTTGTTGTTTTGTTTTTGATAGTTTTTTGTTGTTTTGTTTTTTGTTTTTTTGAGCATGTGCGCACAGCATATTGGTAGGCCAATGGGACAGTCTTCGCACGTGTCGCAGCTTCGACTGAAGAACCCATTCGGGGGCAAATCGATTCTGTAGCCGATCCTCTGCTCGAAGGATCGGTCCGCATCGCATCGGGAAGTCGGATCGAATGGGAATGGACGTCGGTCAGATCCGGCCGCGTGGGCACGGAGTCGACTCATCGCATCGGGTCGGCATCGGGTCGGCTGCGCCAAGGTGCACGACAGCGCCACGCAAGCCTCGGGCCGCGCCGGAGCGCCGGGAAATAGGGATCGCACCAGATCGAGCTGGCCAAAATCGACATCGAACGGGATCGATCGGATCGAAGTGGGCCCTGGTCCTCCACGGTCCACTCCGTGCCCCCCCAGGGCTCCGAGAAGCCCACGGCGCGGTCCCGCGCATACCTGGGACAAAACTGCCGAGACATACACTTTCGGGGCTCCGCGCGGAGATCTCTAGGATCGGCGCCGGGGCCCTCTCCCTGGCGCGCGGAACACACCAGGTGCAGCTCCGAAGGCGGCGCCGAGGGGTTCCATCGCAGATCCAAGAAATCCGCGCGGAACTTCGACAACTTATGCGAATCTTTGTTTATTATTTTTCGATACCTTAGGGGCCTCCTAAATGGGGTCCGAGGTCGGACACATCGCCGATACATCGCGATGTATCGGCGATGCATCGGCGACGTGGGCGATGCATCGGCGACGTCGGCGTGAAGCATATCGGGCTCCACATCGAGCAGCATTGGCGATGAGCATCTACTCCGACCCCATCCATGAGGCCTACAGATACCTGTAACGGTGCTCGTGCACCGCCGGGTTCCACGAGGACGCCACGTCTCCGGAGATGGACTCGCCCGACTCCTGTGCGGGACGGGAAAATGACCACAACCACTGCTTCTCGTTTGCGCCGCGTTCCAGCCAGCCGAAAAAGAAGCAGTGGTTGTGGTCATTTCCCTGGTGCCAAGCTCAACGAAAATGACCACAACCACTGCTTTGTTTCTGCGGGCTGGAAGGCGGCAACAAAAGAAAAGCAGTGGCTGTGGTCCCCCTTATCCTGGGACTCCGGCTCCGACAGCTCCCTGCAGGGCTCCTCCGGCAGCGGCCCTCCGGCGCCGCGCAGAGCGCACAGCTCCCGGAGCTCCTGGCGAGCTCCAGGGTCCTCGCCGTCCTGTGGCGGCGCGCACAAGAGGGGGAGGAGGAGGAGGAGGAGGAGGAGGAGGAGGAGGAGGAGGAGGAGGAGGAGGAGGAGGAGGAGGAGGAGGAGGAGAAGGAGGAGGAGGAGGAGAAGGAGGAGGAGGAGGAGGAGAAGGATGAGGAGGAGGAGGAGGAGGAGGAGGCGGAGGAGGCGGAGGAGGATCAGGAGGAGGACCACTGTAAACCCAAGAGTCATCAACGATGTTGGAATTCACCCTCCCTCCAAGCTCCCTCGTCATAGGCCCCTACAACGGTTCATTTCCATTGACGGAACTGCCTCGTTGGAAGACAACCATTTGAAGATCCTGAAGCATGCCAAACAAATGTTCTCGGGATCTCAACGCCACGTATCAACCTGACTGCTGCGTTTTGGCGATCTGGAACCGTGCCATCACGCTTTTTTGGATTTCAACACCGCGACTCAATATAACTGTTGCACCCGCGAAATCCTGAATCCTTCCCAAACGCCGTTTCTGGTACGTTGGTCATGGGAATCCGTGTAACCCTTGCAGTTGTTGTAAAACGAATGTGCGCGGCGTTAAAGCGAGAGCCACATTTTGAAAAGGAGCCGCCCTCAATCCGTGAAGCTCTTGCAAATTAAGAAAAACGAATGCGCGCGGCGCTAAAGCGAGAACCATATTTTGAAAAGGAGCCGCCCTCAATCCGTGAAGCTCTTGCAAATTAAGAAAAACGAATGTGCGCGGTGCTAAGGCGAGAACCACATGTTATAAACCACCAGCCCTCCATCCGTGAAGTTGTTGTATTTAAGCTTCAGAACCATAAGTTGTGAAGAAATCTCAAGCGAAACGCCCGGCCCGCCCTAAAAACTGGCCTCGGGGTGTGAGGAGTTATGTATCATGAGAAGGAATGGAGGAGCAGGAGGAGCAGGAGCAGGAGGAGCAGGAGGAGGAGGAGCAGGAGGAGGAGGGGGAGGAGGAGGAGGAGGAGGAGGAGGAGGAGGAGGAGGAGGCGGGGAGGGAGGAGGAGGAGGAGGAGGAGGAGGAGGAGGAGGAGGAGGGGGTGTGGTGGGGGAGGGGGACAAGCTTCTTAGGAGGAGTCTGCTTCTTAGAAGGGCCCGGCCTCACGTCTGTCGACGAGGCCCGCGCCTTTCAGGAAGCAGGGGCGCTTCTAAGATGCCTTCCCGCCCTCCCCCACACCCTCCTCCTCCTCCTCCTCCTCCTCCTCCTCCTCTCCTCCTCCTCCTCCTCCTCCTCCTCCTCCTCCTCCTCCTCCTCCTCCATACCCCCCTCTGCGCGTAGCCGAGTCCTGCACCCCGCCGCGGCGCCCGCTCCTAGGGGGCCGCTGGGACGCGGCGCCGCCCCCCGCCGAGCGCCGGGGCGCCTCGCAGCGGCCGAGCTCCTGCCGTAGCTGCGGCGCCCAAGGCAGCAGCGGGCTCGGGAGCCCCAGCTCCCGGTGGCGCGGCGCCTCCGCCCGCGGCGCGGAGCCGCGCCGGCGCACGGCCGCGTTGGCGGCGGCCACCGCGCTCCTCGAGTACGGTGGGGGCATTGTTTCTCACTTCAAGGTCCTGGATGCCCGTGTCGAATACAAACGCAGACGGGAGCACGGACGACCCCACGGGAGGCCAGGCCCGCTCAGACGCCGAGGTGGGGCGTGACGAGCCCGCGGGCCGCCTGCCCCTCGCCGCCCGCCCGCTGAGGTCCCAGCGGCGGGGGTGGGGGCATTGGACAAGGAACCCTTAGGTAAGGCATCCAGGGTCTGGAAGCCAGCGGAGGACCAACTAGCGTTTGGCCATGGACACCACAGTCGCCCTCATCTGATAAGGAATCCTCCGGGGTCTGAAGCCTCCCGTGCACATTCCTCGACGCACGCCCCCCACTGTATGGGGATCCACTGCAGAATTGGTGTGCCCCCCATTGGATTTTTGTTCGGCCGAGGCCAGATGGCTGCGCCGCTGACCTGCCAATGACCTGCTGCGCACCGTGTCGCAGGCTCGACGAGAAAATCACCTTCAGGGGGAAGCTCAATTCTGTGGCCGATCCCCCCCTCGAGCTCCAGGCGCCGCCGCGGGCAGCCGTGGCGGGCTGCTGCGAGAGGGGGCGGCGGCGGTCCAGCCGCGGCCGGGCCGCCGCGGGGCTGCCGTGGTCGGGGCGCGGGCGCGCGGGGCCGCCCTCGCGCGCGGCCCTGCGCACGGCCTCGAGGTCCGCCTCGTGCTCCGAGGTGGCCCTGGGGGGGGCGAAGAGGCCCGCCAGCCACCCCTCCTTGGAGGGCAGAAATCCCCCCCCCCATAATAAATCACCCCGACACGCGGAGCCGTTCAGGAAACGCACCCACCAACGGAATCGAACCGGGCAGGGCTGTTGAGTAAACGCCCGAGGCCGTTTGGTAAACGCCGATTGTGGGGTCAGGGTGGTTTTTCCTCCCTTGACTCCTCCCACTCCGCGTCCTCCTCGTCCGGGATGGCCTGGCCCGCTACCGTCAGCCTGGTGACGCGGATGGGCGCGGAGGCGATGGCGTGGATCCCGGCCACGCGGTGCACCTCGCTGACGATGTCGTACCTCAGCGCGTGCACGTGCGAGGTCAGCTGGTGAACCAGCACCTCCGGAGCCACACCCTTGGGCGACTCGATGAGAACCAATACCATGACGCCCTGAAGCGTGACGCGGACGTCGCGGGGACCGACATCGTTCTCCGCCTGCTGGATGATGGCCCTCTTGACTCCCTTCTCGAACTCCTCTCGCATGGGCCTGCTCTCCAAAAGCTGGTCGTGAGAGATGCCTTCCACCATCAGCCACACGGCCACCGATGTCTCCACCTCCTCCTGCGGCGGCGCCTGCTGCGCCTGCTGCGCCTGCTGCGCCTGCTGCTCATCTTCTGCCTTCTGCTCCCCTGCGCTCGGCTTCGCTGCCTCTGCCTCCTGGCTCGCCACCCCGAAGAGCGCGGCGAACCCTTGCCCCAATGCCGCGTCCAGGCCCAGCGGCGCTGGCTCCGCGGCGGCCTTCGCCCTCCGCTTCCGCTTGGGCCCCGCCCGCTTCGGCCTTGCCCTCACTGGCTCGGGCTCGTCCCCGGCCCACCCCCCGAGCAGCCCGAACACGCCGAACAGTCCGGGATCCTCCGCCTGCTCCGCTGCCGCCCCCGGCCCGCCGGGGGGCTGCCCCGCTCCAGCGGGCGGCCGCGCGCTGGCCGCCGGGCCGCCCCGCCCGCCACCCCCTGCGGGCGCCGCCACCGCAGGGGGCGACGCCGGCCGCGCCGACCTCGCCGGCGGCGCCTCGTGCCGTGGCGCCGCGGCGCCTGCGAGGGCCTCCGCGGGCGCCCCTGCCGGTCGAGCGGCCGCGGCCCGGCCAGGCGGGGGCCGGCCGGCGGCAGCAGCGCCTGACCTGCCGGCGCGGCCGCGGCCAGATGCCCGGCCTGCCCGGCTGGCGGCCCCGCGGGCGGCGAGGCCGCCGCCGCCGCGAGCCTCTGGCGCTCGGCGCGGCCCCGGTGGAGGGCCTGGATCTTGGCGGCCGCCGCCGCGGCCTCCGCCGCAGAGGGCTCGCGCCCCGCGCCGTGCTGCTCGGGCGCCGCGCTGGGGGCCGGCGCCCTCCGGGCGGAGGGAGGGAGCGCCGCGGTGCCCGCCCTCCCTGGCGGCGTGCCCGCCGAGCGGGGCGTGGGCGCGGAGGGCTGGGGCTTGGCGGACTGCGCCCCCGCCTTCTCTCCCAGCCATGGCGTGCCCGCTGAGCGGGGTGCCGGCGCGGAGGGCTGGGGCTCGGCGGTCGGCGCCCCCGCTTTCGACGGCGGCCTTGGCGCCTGGGCGCCTGGCGCTGGTCGAGACGGCGCGGCCGGCGCGGCTGGCGCGCGGGGCTGGGGCTTGGCGGTCGCCACCCCCGCTTTCGACGGCGGTGCCGACGGCGCCCCGACCGCCGCCTCCGCGTTGGGCGGGCTCCTGGCCCCTCTCGGCGGAGTGGTGGCTCGGGTCTTGTTGCGCTGGCGCTTGAGGTTGCGCAAGGTCATGTACGCACCCTCGAACTCCCGGACGTTCACTTTGCCGTCGTCGCCTGCGAACTTGTTCATTACCTTCCCTAAGGCCTGCGGGGTAAAAGGCGGTGCTCCCTCCCGCTTGGCAATCTCATTTGCCAGGGCAAGGCATTCCGACTGGTCCAGTGTGGAGTCCTCGTTCCTGTCGTACTTCTTGAAGAGGATCTGGAGCTCGTGGATGGCCAGTGGTCTATTCCCCATCGCGACAGCTATGCGCACTCCTGGGACTCAATCTTGGTCAAGCAGGCCTTGAGCCAACGGCTGCCGACCCGCGTGTACATGCGCGCCCCAGCTAGAGCTCGAGCTTCTCACACCGGGCCGGCCCCTCCAGCCCTCACGGGCACCAACCCTCGTCGCCACGGCTGGACCTGCCCCGAGATGCTTGTCCGGACGCGCTGCGGGATTTGTTCCAGGTGCCAACTCTTGAAGGGAAGGGAGGGGTGATCCCCCTCATGACCCCTAAACTCAAAAGGGCTCGGGGGCAGGAAGATCCAGCAAGCTCGCGGCGGCTGCTTGGCGAATTCCGTGGTTCTCGGGGGTGGGCAGAACCTCCTTTAGCAAAACACCCCTTCGAAAACGACCCGTGACCAGACCCGGCCGGCGTCGATACGCACAACGCGGCCCTCTCGAGAACTAAGAAAAGGCAAGTTGCTAATCGATCTGGCAGGGCGAGGGTTCTATCAAACCTCCTCTGAGAGAGCTGCGCGTTGTTGAAGTCGAATTCTACTTCCAAGCACAAGCTGAGAGAACTGTGTGTTTTGGGAAGTCGAACTCGCCTTCCAAGCGCACACAGCTTTCTTTGGGTGCACGTCTTCAAGCATGGGAAGCGGTTTTGACTTCCAACAATACGCAGTTCACGGCGTTCTCTGGAAGCTGAAGTCGCCTAACACACGACACACCGTACTCTCACGTTCTTGGACATCGAACTCGCCTTCCAAAAGCACACAGTTCTCTCAGGCCGACTCGAGTGTAGCGTTAAGTCGGGCCTGTCCCCCTACAGGGGGATTTTGGACGAAAAATAGAAAAAAACGCCCCAAACACATTCCAAACATGCTCAACAATACTAAACAATAGTACCACACGAGTTTTTGACTATTTTTGAACATTCTCCCTGTAGAGGGACAAGCCCGACTTCAGTGTAGCGCCGAGGGAGGGCAGCAGCAGCAGACAGCGCATCGGGAGTGCTCGCCAGACGTTTGCCGAGGAGGAGGAGGAGGAGGAGGAGGAGAGGAGGGAGGAGGAGGAGGAGAGGAGGAGGAGGAGGAGGAGGAGGAGGGAGGAGGGGGAGGAGGGGGAGGAGGAGGAGGAGGAGGAGGAGGAGGAGGAGGAGGAGGAGGAGGAGGAGGAGGAGGAGGAGGAGGAGGGGGAGGAGGAGGAGGAGGAGGGGAGGAGGAGGAGGAGGAGGAGGGGAGGAGGAGGAGGAGGAGGAGGAGGAGGAGGAGGAGGAGGAGGAGCATGCGCCCGGCGACGGCGCCGCCCGACCTGCAGGCACGGCGCCTCCCTATAAGAGGGCTCGGGGCCACGGGGCAGCCTGCCGACGACCGCCCTTCGCCCCGCTGCGCTCCCCCCGCGCAAGAGGGATTGGGGCCCTGGGACACACAAATGAATGCACACAAGGATGCCTTAGGAATCCCTAGGAACCCTTAGGATTCCATTGGATCCTAAGGCCGTTGCCACTGTGACCGTCATTGCGGATGCGACTGCGACTGCGAGAACAGCAGAATTCTACAACTGGATTCTCACCTGAATCTTAAGGGGAATGCTTCCAGATATACTTATACACATCGCTGTTAGGTTGCTTTGCCGGGATAATCTGTTCTGGGTTTCTGTCTTCCCCCCCCCACTTCCCATAGTTTCCCATATTTTCCAGGGAATCGACGATGAATTGTCTGTGTGTTTTTGGTTCCCCTCCCGAAAGAGGCGCACCGCCAAGCGGGCGGCGGAGCGGGGGGAGAGTCGGGGCCCCCCAGACGGGGACACCGCGAACCAGGTCTGTTAGGGGCCTCCCAGATGGGGTCGGAGTAGATGGGTCGGAGGATCGAGCCGCATCGGCGATGCATCGGCGACGTCGGCGTGGAGAAGATCGGGCTCCTCATCGAGCCAGCATCACCGATGCATCGACGATGAGGCGCGATCCTCCGACCCCATCCACTCCGACCCCATCTGGGAGGACCAGACGTGTGAGCGCTCCACCTGGACGGGACGCCACACAGAGAGGGGCTCGACCCACGGCTGCGGCCTCCTCGGGCGCGCCAGGGCCCTGGGATGGGTCTGTGGCCCCCGTCTGCGAGGCCCTGACAGGGAGAATCGGGCGGGCGGCACGGGGGGGGGGCGACCCACACTGGGGAGGGGGGGAGGAACAAATGCCCTCAGCAAGTGGGCCCTTCCGGGCTTCTCCTGGGCACCGGCCGGCTCCGAGAGGGGCCCCTGGGGGCCAAAAGGGCCCTTCTGCAGTCGGGCTCGACTGGACAGGACCCGCGAGAGGACCCAAGACCCTTCCGAGGGCCACACTGCCACAGGAGTGTCGGACAAAATGGGTCGCGAGGCACAGGATGATGGGCCTGTTTTCCACCACCACCACCACCATAAGTTGGAGGGGGAGGCGTTCATCGTCCTCCTCCTCCTCTTCGTCCTCTTCGTCCTCCTCCTCGTCCTCCTCATCCTTCCCCCCTCCAACTTATGGTGGTGGTGGTGGAAAACATGCCCATCACAGGACACAAGGGTGCCCGTGATTTGGCAGGGCCGACCTCCTAGCCTGGGCCGACTGTAGGGCCCTGCTCTTCGCCCCACGTCTGGCCCCCCCCCTCCCCCCCCGTGGCCGCCCGCCCGAGGGGAGCGCTGCCCTGCTGCCCGGCCTCCGTCTGGGCTGTGTGTGGTGCGCCGTGCGCGTGTCGACGAGCGCGTTCCACTCCTCGCAAAGTCACTACTCGCAAATGGTGACGATCGAACAACACGCACCCATACCCAAAGGGGGGGACGGAGGAGGCTATGGGTGCGTGTTGTCGGATGGGGGTCCCCGCTCGAACGGGAGCTTCCCCCAGGGTCCGACAACTCGCACGCATACCCATAGACAGTTCCCCTCCTTTCGACCCTCCTATGGGTACAGTATGGGTGTGAGTTGTTCGCTCGTCGAATGGCCTGGACCCCTCGCGGGAATTGCACGGAAGCAGACGTGTGTGTTTTTCGGACGTTTGCGAGCAGGCACTCTGCGAGTAGCGGAACGCGCTCGGCGAGTGTGAGGCGCCGGGTGCCGTGCGGTGCGGGCGCCGCCGCGGCAGGCTCCCCCCGGGCGGGGCCGAAGCCGCGCGGGCCCGCGGGCCCGGCAGGCCCGTCGCGGAGGCGGCCACTCGTGGGCGCCTCTCGCGCGAGGGGCGCGGCGGAGCCGAAGCCCAAGCCTTCCACTGTTCCTGTGGAGCTGCCGATGGGGCAGGCCGACCCCCAGACCGCCCGCACGGCGAACCGTTCCAGGCGGCGCGTGCTCGCGGTCGTCGGCCTGGGGGCCCTCGCCAGCCCCAGGAGCGTCAAGCAACGACTCGGAGAGCCAGTCCTGGGGAAGGGTCGGGACTTCGGGGGGCCCTGGATGGAAAAGATCCGCACATCGGACGTATGGGTTTGGGGCTCAACGCGAGGATATAATTACGTGCATCCCTGAGTTTCCCCTCTTCTCTGGGCGACCTGATTTTTGGGGGAGCTGGGGGCTTGGTGGAGAGAGATCGCCGGAGGCCTTTCGCGCCCAGATCCCCCTTGCCCTGTGGTACTGGGTCGTACCAGTCGGCTCGACCGCATCTAAGCCAGCAGCGCTTCGCGTCACTCGCGCTTCGTTGGCGCAGTTGCACTCGAAAGCTGCGCTACATCCTCCTCCTCCTCCTCCTCCTCCTGCTCCTCCTCCTCCCTCCTCCTCCTCCTCCTCCTCCTCCTCCTCCTCCTCCTCCTCCTCCCCCTCCTCCTCCTCCTCCTCCTCCCCCTCCTCCCCCTCCTCCTCCTCCTCCTCCTCCTCCTCCTCCTCCTCCTCCTCCTCCTCGCCTTCCTTTCTGGGCCTTCGGGGGGGCCCCTCGTCACAACGGCTGGGCGCGGGGATTCCCACCGAAGACTGAGGAGAAGAGGGGGAGTCATACAGGGCGGGAATGCGAAGGAGGAGGAGGAGGAGGAGGAGGAGGAGGAGGAGGAGGAGGAGGAGGAGGAGGAGGAGGAGGAGGAGGAGGAAGCTGCGCGCAGCCGGTTCCCTCGTCGCGTCACAGCGCTAGCCATGAGGAAAGCGACCAGCGGCTAGGCCGAGACCGGCTGCATGTGGGAGACTTCCTAACCTCGCCCTCATATCTCGTCCTTCTTGAGAAGATGGGCGAGATCCTTCCTAGAGATCCGACGCATTGATTTCTTGAATAAGGGGCCCCTGGAAGCCCCGACCCTTTCCCCAAGGCTGGCTTCCTATCCTGAGTCGTTTCTTGACGTTCCCATGGCCTGGCGTGGCCCCCAGAGGCCGCAAACGGCGAGCATCCCTTGTACTTTGTTTTCGAAGCGTTGCTACAGGCCTCCCAGATGGGGTCAGAGTAGATGGGGTCGAAGGGTTGGTCGCGCCGCATCGCCGATGTACCAGTGACGCCGGCGTGGAGTAGAAGAAAAACAACGCCATACACATAAACTTTTGGCGCTGAACGCGGACTTCTTGGATCTGCGCTGGACGCGAACAGGGGCGGCGCTGGAGGCGCCGCCGGGGGGGGGCCAGCGCAGATCCAAGAACACCGCGCGGAGCGCCAACAGTTTATGCTTATGGCGTTTTTTCCCAACCATCCTGTGGTGTTGGGTCCTCGTTTTGAAGAACGGTCCCCGCGTCTCCTCCTTCTCCTCCCGTGCCTCCCTCCCCGTGAGGGCACCACGTGCGTCTACCACCGGAAAAGATATTCACACTTGCGCTACCCACAACTGCACATGGTTGGGTCCTTCGCCAGGATAGTTCTTCTTCCGTGGAGGACATCGAACTCACCAGGATAACTCGCCAGGATGATTCTCCTCTCCTCCTCTCCCTCGCCAGGACAATTCTCCCTCTCCCCTCCCTCGCCAGGATCAGATTCTTCTTCGGCAGCGGATCTAGTTCTTCTTCTCCTGGATCGTTCTTCTCCTCCTGTCCTTCGCCAGGATGATATTCTTCTTCGGCAGCGGATATAGTTACTCTTCTCCTGGATCGTTCTTCTCCTCCTCTCCTTCGCCAGGACCATTCTTCTTCGGCAGCGGCCTGGCGCCGCACTGCCCTCTGCAGCGCGTCGGC